TACTAGTGCTCGGTTATAGGAATTACAATCCAACATATCTGAAGGGACCTGTTTGGGAATGACTGTTTTGGAAGAGAAACCAAGAAAAGCAATATGGTATGGCAAATTTACCCACCACTGCTTGCCTTCCATTTATAGCAGTGTTTCTAACCTTGGGCACCTTAAAGCTGCACAGCCTCAACCCCCCAGAATCCCCTAGCCAGCATGCTGGTTGGGGAATTCTGGGAGTTGAAGTCCACACAGCTTGAAGTTGCCAAGGTTGAAAAACACTGATTTATAGGAAGGAGACAGCTATTTACAGGATCTCAGTTCCCATCTTTGGTGACACTAGCTATTACCATGGGGAAAAAGCACATGTCTTTAGCTGTGGCCATTAAGTCTAGACCAGTGTTTTTCAAACTTGGTAACTTTAAGATTTGTGGACTTAACTCCCAGAATTCCCCAGCTAGCATGCTGTTTGAAAAACACTGGTCAAGACCCTGTCAAATTTGAGCACTATCTCCCCAACACCTGTGGTCTTTTTAACGAGTATTGTACCAAGAGATTTTTTATTGTTTAGAAAACAACATGGGAAGACACCTAACTTATCTTAGTCACAAGGGAGGCATTTAGAAATGACTTTTGAAATTACTTGGCCAAAACATTGATACAAACTTTCTAACTGCAAGAAGTAGCCAAACGGATATTTTGGAGTAGATGTTTAGTTTTGTTAGTTCAGAGACAAAAATAGGTGATAACTTTTTCAAGCCATATATCCAAGGGTGAATAATGATGGAAAATAAGACCTTTAGGATAGAATTATGTTACTGTGTATGCAGAAACATTCACAAGAAAAGACAGGATTTAGCATCCACAAAGCTCAGCTTTCACAAAAATAAAAAAGTTAAAAGTATCTCCAAACCAGCCCAATCCTTCATGCTGTTTGATTTTGCCTATAAATATTGTCAAAAGCCAATCAAAAGGACCAGCTGTGTATGTATGTATACAATGTATACTTACGTACATTATATACATACATATCAGAAGCCACCAGCCACTTCAATACAATGTAGAAGAAGAGGGTGATTCATTAGCAGAGACTACACATAGGTGTGTGTTTTAAATGGCATACAGATTCTGGGCAGCAGGTCAGAAAATAAATCGTGTCTCTCCTGCATATGACTTTGTTGCTTGCATTTATATTTTGGCACAGAAGGAAAAGAGATTTGATATTAGATTTTCCTAATTCAGCTGCTGTATTATATTAAGCCAGCACAGGCTGAGGATAATGGAGTCCTAGTCCAACTCATCCAGAAAGCAACAGGTTGAGAAAGCCTACAATTCCAGCGCAAGTATGATCAGAGGACAACTTTCCCAAGATGAAGGCTAATTCACCTTCAAGACCAAATGCTTAAAGCAGAACTGACATGCATGCTATTCAGCAGATGTGATATTCCAATACATGCATGAGGACCCACTATCTAAGAAGTGTTAGATACAAGAGGGAGTGACTTGTGAAAGCAAGCAACAAAGACTAAAACAGAGACTCCTGAAAGTAGAGTAGACAAAATAAATTGCCACCATGATTTTAGGGACCAAGTTCAAAGGCCATTTTCGGATGGCATCTGGAAGACAGGACTCTAGAGCCTAGAAACAGTTTGGGCTGGTGACCCTTAGGGACACTGGAATGCAGGGGCATCTATAGAAGGGGAAATATATTATGAGTCTTTAGCCCATAGAAACAGATGAGAGTCATGGGGGTGTGTGTGGTAAAATTACAGCTGGAGGATGAATCTAGGAATCAAGATAGCAGTAGGCAGGAATCCATAATATCATTTGGTACAGCATCAGAAAACACATAAAATCAGCATTTATTTTAAAGTAAACAGAACATTTTGGGAGGGTGACCTGTTGCTCTGCACCAAAATCTTTTTCTAAGAACTATTTAAAAAAAACAGTTTATGTGATAGATCCTGCTTTCTCCTTGGAGGTTCTTTAATTATCTAGTAACACTTTTGAGAAGGCAGTGTGAGATATAAAAGGAAATCAAGAAAATATTCCTATGTTTTCCAGATTCATCCTACAAACTAAAAAATGAGCATGGAATGGTTTTTCTTTTTGTTTCTAAGGTAAGAGGATTAAGGATTTGCTTCATGAAATTATGGTAGACTGAGCATATCAGCAAAGCCTAAAGATAAGCATTAAAAAGATTATTTCACATAAGTTAGTAGACAGCCAAATTTCTATAAATAAAAAAGCTTGGGGAGGGGGCACCCACAGTATTTATTTGACTCCTTTTTGAAGGCTTTAATACTAGCAAGCTCATCCAAAAATGCCTGCCCAGTCTTCCGCAAGTGCTCTGAGCTCCTTTTGCTTAAAAACCATCCATAATACAAGGGAAGGAAGTCCTTTTCTAAACTGGGCTTCAATTTCTTTAGCTCATCAGCTGAAAGTTTCCACTGGTTCTTATCTTTGAGCTGCAAGCAATCCATTTTCCATGAAGTTTTGGGCTCCACAATGATGACTTTGTAGCGATATTTGTCTGCAATGTCAAAAAGCTGCTCCAGCCGCTCCCGTTCGTGGTGGGTATCATCTACGACTACCACACTGATGTCACGCTTGCAATAGTCAGCTAGATCCTCATCAACCTTGCTATAATCATCAGGAATGGCACTCCTGACAGCAGGCTGGATTTTGTAGTGGTCAACAGAAATGACTTTGCAAGCATCCTTATACTTGTCTTGGATGGCCTGGGCCAAGGTAGATTTCCCACTGCCTGGTAGACCCCGGAGGACAAAAAAAGTTTTTGATTCCCGGATTGTGGTAATCGTTTCATCATCATCCAGAAAGGGGAACTGCAAGCTCTCAGGACGCTCTTTGGGCTGGGAAGACATTTTCCTAAAAATCTTTGGCAGGAACACGTGGCTCTTCCGGGCGAAGCCTTTGTTCTGAAATCAAAAAGGAGAGAGAGAAAGAGAGAAAGAATAATTGTGTGGTTTTATTGGAACATTCCAGAGAGAGAGATACCATCATTTCTCCTTAATAATAGGCCACTGTTTTCAATCTCAACTGAAGAGGGGATTTTTTTGTTGTTGCTCCTCCTGCTGCTGGTTATTCAGATGGGCACAAATGGCCTAGTGATGGCTTTAAATGGCACTATTATGTCAGAGAAGAACTTGGTGCATTCCAGAAGTAGCAGCCCTTTCAGTCAGTTATAGCAAAACTCTAGGCCTACCTTCCCCAATCTGGTGCCCTCCAATTACGTTGGACTACAACTCCCACCACCAGTAACTACTTGTCCATTGGCTAGTAGAAAGGTGATGGGGTCTGTAGTTCAACTCATCTGGGTGATGTTCTGCTGTCCTGTGCTGGGGAAGGTTGTTTGTCCTATTAGGCTGGGGCCTGCCTTGTTGTTTATTAGAAGGAAAGTAACTTACCGCCATCTGTCAAGAGGGTTAGGCCAATATCTTGTACAGTACTGTCAACTCTGATAAGTAGTGGCTTGTCCATATTTCAGGCTAGAATTCTTCCAGCTCTGGTGGGACTTGAACCTGGGATCATCTACATGTGAAGATGCACCCTATCCCTGAGGCATGGCTCTTCCCAAGCATTAATGAGAACCAGGCCATCTCAGGTCCTGAGACAGTGGCGTGCATGCAAGAGGATGAATGTGGGATGTGTACCAACAAAAAGCACATAATATGGTATTGTACTCATAATTTCTATACCTTCTGCAGATATACCCAGTGAATTAGAATGAGGATATACTATTTGGAATCTCTCACCATTTTTTTTACTACATAATTCAGAGAAGATATGTTGGAGCTATCAGATCTGTGTGTCAAAATTTTTCTATGTTGCTATCTAGTGCTTATCTGAATTTCAGTAGCCCAGATGTGTAGTCTGAATATGTGTCACTAACTGTTCAGGGCCCCTGATATATTGTCTTAGGTTAAAAGACAATAGAATATTTATCAGTTTTCTCTAAGTCTAGGCTGTGTTCTCTGTATTGGGGAGATTTCAGCGAAGTCAAAAAATGGCAAGAGAGATTAGAAGTCAGGCAAGACAGGAAAAAATGTGATCTTATGCATCTTTTCAGCCTAATAACGTTTTTTGGGAGGGTCACCCAGTGAGGAGGACTAAGATCAGCTATTAACCTTGGATGGGTGAACATGCACTCACGCTGTCTCCTAATTGACAAAGCAGATGTTGTTTCTGCACTATTCATTGCTGCTGCTCTGAAATTCCCCTTTCCTCATCCTGTTTGCATCTGGCCATGCTACTAAAGAGCAAAGCTTTACTTAGCACAGAACTGATTTTTAGCACAACAAAATTATTGTTGTTAAAAAGTCAAAAGAGTAGGACAGGTAGACGTAAGTGTGGGCAGTTGGGCAAGACTGATGAAGTCAGATATGTCCAAAAGAAGGAAAAGAGGGGGAGGAGGAAAAATAGTTGCTCAAAGTGGGTTTTAACTAAAGATTGCTAGGAGATTAATAGATTGGCTTTATTAAAGGGAATAGATTCTTTCAGATGTATGGAGCCCCTGCTACGATGCTGGATCAATAATAATAACCTTTAAACTGAACAAAGAGCTTAAGTGAAGAAAAGGAAAGGTGAGAGAAGCAGCATGTATCTGAAAGTATTAGAAGGTAAATGCTTTTGCTGTATGTTGGGATTGCACCTTTAATTCATTGTCATTTATTGGGAATAGGTTATATTGCCTTTCATATTAAAGACAACTTATAAAAAAAGAATAGCAAACTCTTATAAACTCGTATCAGAAAACAATAATGGAGACAGAAGATACTTTAAAATGAGAAATTTAAAAGGCTGACGATTCTGCAGTTGAGATGTCGGAATGCAGAAAGCTTTCTCTCTTGTTGCAACATCACATAACAGTGAAGGTAGGCTGACAGGACAGGACAGGACAGGACAAGAAAAAGGAAAAGGAAAAGGAAAAGGAAAAGAAGAAAGATAGATTAGTAGATTGATTATGGCACAAGCCTTCTTGTCTGGAAGAAGACAAG